TATATATATACGATGTATATCAATTATTAAATTTAAAGTTTACGGCAGACGTTGTTAAATGTAAGATCCAAGATACAATTCAAAAAATAATTTGACAAAGTTTGGGGGCGGGTTCCTGGAACTAAATCAAGGTAAAATGTCTATATAAGCATATGTTCATAAGGCCATCGTTGTAACTCAATACAGCAACTCAGAGCAAATGTTCAAAATGTCCTCTGCGTGCTTTTGTACATGTATGCACACGTTGTTTCATTGACTGCTGGACCATTTAAACACGGTGTCGAATGGTTTTGGCAGGCCCGCATAGCACGTTGATGAAACGCCTCTGCATTGCTAATATCTGCTGCATAAACCAATTGTTTTATTTGGTCCCACAAAGATCCAATGGATTGAGGCTGAGAGAATGTCCAGTGCATGAAACCGGTACTTCCCTACCTAGCTATCTTTCGTGGTAGATGTCAGCTATTTCATCGCGAACAATGTGACCAAAATGTGCTGCAACCCCATCATGCTTGAACCACATGCGTCTTCGTATTAACAAGGGTGCATCCTCTAGCTGGTCTGGAAGTATGTTTGAAATAAAGTCCCTGTAGATAGAGAATATATGGACCTACCAGACAGTCACCTAATATTGAAGACCACACATCAATCGGCAACTGATGCTGGTGTCTAACCTGTATTGCACCATCGGGATTCTGATCCGCCCACGAATGTTAGTTGTGTCAATTTGTTAGTCTATCTCTCAAATGTAGCCTCATCCATAAACAAGACCGAAGAGACCAGCAACATGTCGGCAGTTTGCGGAACCGACTATCGGCAAGAGTTCATCTCTGATCAGTGATCAGAGGGTGAAAGACACTGCACACGATACGGATATACGAGTTGCTCTTGAAGTACCCTCCTTGCGGTACTACGAGATGTATGGTATGCTAGGTCCACTTGACATCTGCTGATACCTGGATCGTCTCTGACAGCCTGCAGAATGTGTTCTTCGTGGTCAGGCGCAGGTGGGGATATTGGCCTTCCTCGATCTATAATGTGCTGTGCCATGCTTCCTGTCTCAGTAACACGACGATGAAAGGCAGCAAAGCATGAATCGGCTGCCTTTCGACTGGAAATGCAATCTGATACAGCCGTGCAGCCACGCGTTTAATAGCACTGACGCGCCCGTATTCAAAAATAATATCCGTCTGCTGTCAATATAAATATCCCGCGATTGTTAAACGGAATACTTCTCAGTTAACTCACTACTATGAACGTTAAACGTCCAAGGCTGTGCTACACGGGAGCGAGGCAGTAAAGGCAGCCGCGCGCGAGAGACGGCGAGACCGGTAGGGTAGCGCGCTGCTGCTGACGCCGCTGAAGTGCCCTCGCTCGCCCGAAAGCCGTCGTTTGTGGTCTTGCTGCGGCGGCCGGCTACGGTGAGAACTGCTGTGGTGCGTGCTGCTATCGTTTCGGGAACACGCTAGACAGTCATCACGCGACGTGGTAGCGTTCCGGTGCCGGTCTGGAACGCGATCGATCAAACTTGGGTAAAGGGCGGGTGTAACTGTGACTGACTTTATGATCATGTTCTGGCTGTTAACAGTTGGCTTGATTATGCCCCCGCCACCTTGGCCGGCGTTGAGTTCCAGGAGGCCATCCGAGTCCGTCTAGGCTGTATGGGCACGCCAGCCCGGTTATCCCGGGGTGGCCGAAGGGTCGAAACAGTGTGTAAATGTGGTCGCAATGCTCCAATGAGCCTGCCCCACGTAGCCTAATCCTGTGGTATCGTTGATGGTCTTCGAACGAAAAGGCATGACGATGTTGTGCTTTTCGTGGCGTAAGCCATGAAGAAGCGGAATCTGGATGTCATTATGGAACCGAGATTTGAGACTGAGGGAGGTCTGCCGAAGCCTGACATCATGGTCCGTACCGAGAGGGGGTTGATTTTTCTGGACGTGCAGGTGCGTCCTGATTCTGCCGTGTGCAGTCTGGAAACTTGCAACGCAGAAAAAATCCGGAAATATAACCAGCCGTACTTCCTCGATGCGGTCCGCGATCGTTTTGGTAGCGACATTACCGTTAAAGTCGTTGCCCTGAGGTACAATTGGCGAGGTGCGGTGGCCCAACAGTCCTACCAGGATTGTCATACATCGGGTCTGTTGCGGTGGAGGCATTTTGGGATGATTTCCAGACTTGTTCTCCGTGATACTGCTCGGATGCTCCGGGCATATTGGCGCGCTCCGGCGGAGGGGTTGACTCGCCCTGTTGCTTCGCCGAGGTTGCTTTGTGACTGCTCTGAGTAGTCTAGTTAAGCCTAACTTCCAAAAAAAAAAATATATATATATATATACACCCCCTCTTATCTTTCCGGCTACGGTTGGATTCCCGGTCTACAGGGGCTAACTCACCTAACCTTCTTAGGTGAAAGGGAAATATCCGGCCCTCGCTGTAGATGACGATTAAAACGCGCTCTACCTCCCCGTGGTGGCATTTGGTAACGCCCTTCGGCCGGCTAAACGAGTGCAATAGCGAGTGGCCGTGAGAAATCTTCAGTTAGCAGATACCTCGTTATCTCGTCTAGCCACAAATATATACGAATAACAAATATAAACTAATCTACATTGCAACACAGCGCCATCTACTGCAAATATATATTAAAACTAAATAACGAAAGATTTACAGGATGGTTATATAGACCTTTACCATTGCTTTGGTGTAATTAACCTGACGACATTTTTTTTAAAAGTATTTTTGGTACATACTGTATCTATTGTGCTAGGCAAAAATATTTCCGACATTTTAACATGTCACCTCTTTAGTACAAGAACGTAGGCAACTGGCAATGGCGAATTCGTCAAGTTAATGCCTTATCATTTTGCGGATAAGTATTGCGCTCAAATTTGTGCATAAAGTTTCCGAACTTCATATTTTGTTATTTTTGGACAAGTATTTTCGAAATAAATCCCATTTTGGGCAACCTCGTCCCCAATAGCCGTTACACGTCATGTTACGCTAGACCAACTTCTCAAAGAAATACCGAGGCTCAGCGAAAGGAATTGAAACTACCACACAGACAAAACATACGTTCTTGATAATGACTGCGAAAGTCGAATGTGCTTGAAAAAAAATAACAAAATATGAACTTCTGATAGTTTAGCCGCAAATTTAAGCACAGCACTCAACATCTTATCCGGAAATTTGTAACCTGCAATGACAAATTAAACAGAAAGGTCTTGTCGCTTCCTTTTAATCATATTCATTCATATATATATATATATATATATATATATATATATTTAACGTTCTTTTTATAGATACAAGTATTTAAGTAAATGCTCTGTTTATAATAAACAGTATTAAATAAGATTTACCGGGCTGAATGTCAAAATTTTCATAGAAAATATTCGTTCTTTGACAGGATTCGTGCATCCTGTCAAAGGATGAATATTTTCTAGGCCGGACATTCAGGCCGGTAAATCTTATTTAATACTGTTTATTATAAACAGAGCATTTACTTAAATACTTGTATCTATAAAAAAAAAGAACGTTAAACATAAAAATATCTTTAATAAATAAATTGTCGGATTTGTCCATTTTTATATATATATATATATATATATATATATATATATATATATATATAATACTAATAATCTTATCAATATAAGCAGCTATACTCGTCCGGCAAAACCTTAGGTGTTTTAGCTTGTAAATCAACAAACCAATTCCCAAGGGTAAAAGGGGGGGAGAACTAAGGACATATATTTCCGTCGAAAATAATCGTCTAGAATTTACGTTCAGAGTCTAGCTCTTTAGGTTTACTTTACTCGATACCGACGGGAGAGCCCCATTACACACACACACACACACACACACACACACACACACACACACACACACACACACACACACACACACACATATATATATATATATATATATATATATAGATATAAACGAAAATATATCAATATACTGTTTAATAAATAAACGGAACTTCTAATCAAATATCACACACACACGGACATATATGTGTGTATATATATACATGTATATATATATATATATATATATATATATATAAATTTGTATATATATATATATGTGTGTGTGTGTGTGTAAGTGGTTACTTTTTTAACGTAGTCCTAACAGATTTGTAGTATGGTAGATTGCAAATATAACATAGTAGAATCTATCATTATATTTTCTTCTCTTGGGTATCAATATAATTTGCACGTACATTAGGCTGAAACTCAAAAAATCTATATACTTCTAAAATCATTTATCCAAATATACAAAAATTAGATATGGGTTTCTACTAGATTTTTTTGGCAAAAGGGGAAAAATATCATGGAGATTGTTTTCTGTTACGAAGTTATCTAAAATGTGAACGACATCAAAATTTCATTTGATCGCTAGCAGAAATCTTGACGTTTCATCTCCAACGCTAAGGCGGGAAACTAAATCAGAAAAGAAAAATAGAAGCCTCAAAATTGCTTTAGAACTACGAATATAAATAAAGATTAAAAAAATAATGTAAGACCGATTTTGATCAGTAATTGATGTCTAGGAAGAGGGTATCACGTTGGAATCGATCGATTGGTATAAACCGAAGGCGTTTGTCTGTCGATATTATTGCAACATGATGTCGCCTGTCAGACGTCTTGCGCCTTGATTTGCACAGATCAATATTCAGTTGCAATGGTCTTCTATTCCTTTTTTTTAAGTATTTCATGCTAAGCAAGGCGATAAAGCTACTAAAATGCTTGATGGGGATACAGGGAGTGAAAGAGAATTAGAAGACATTAGTGACGAGAATTGAGTAAAGGACAATAAAGGAACATAGTTCAGGTTGACAGAAAACGCTGATTGATGGTTCATTTAATTTTTGGCAGATTTTAATTGACAGGGAAGCAAGAAATCGGAAGGGATTTAACAGCTCAAAAGTGCTAGAGAAGAAATTGTTACAATAGACTTAGCGATTGCATCTTGCTAGTTGAACAGTAAAGGTTTGAGACCTAATTGTCAATCTTTGATGTTTGCTGGCATTCGAACTCGTCTCTCTTCTTACTACCTCATGATTCAAAGGGAATTCAGACAGGCAAGATCTCGTAAGCCTGGTTTGCATCGGACTGTCGGATGCCTGGTCAGTCAAGGTCCACTTTGGTTATGCCAACTCAATTGGCACTGCCCTCTTCCAACAGTTTGGCCATTGAGATCACGTCGAAGTACCACGGAAAATAGGATGACTAGAGCAGTTGCCGTGGAAATATTGGTAAATTTGCTTTTTAATGCCCAAACGCCCGCACACTAAATAGCTCTTAAAATTTTCCCAAATCGTCATAATTCCGTGTAAATGTACATGATGAACTCAAATTAACAATTAAATTATGAAGAAACCTACCATTTTGGAGTTATCGACAAGAAGAAAAAAAACGGACTTCTTGTTGCTCATTCGTCAGCCCCTACTCCCATAATATTCACTAATTCACTGCGGGGTACTTCCGGTGGCGTAAGCATAAATTTTGGCCTATTTACTTCCTTTACAAATGTTCTTTTTCCGAAATCAATACGCTCTACACTAAAGCAATGTAATGTTTTTTTTTTTTTTTTTTTTTTTTGGATAAATGTAGTTTTACTTAAAATTAAAACAAACAAAAATTACAATGTAAAGACAAGGCCAGGAAGGATTTTTTTCAAAAATAAAACAAAGTTAACTTTCAAATATATGAAAATATTGACAAATCAAAAAAATAACAAAAAGAAAATATTAAGTTATATAGTAAAGCATTTTTTTTCCATTTTTTTTTAAAATTGAAAATAAAACAAAGTTTGTAAAGAGAGCAAAAGGTAAAAGTTCCAAATATATGAAAATAATAACAAATTAAAACATTCACAAACTTTGTGAAGATACAGGTAATTTCGAAAATAAAATTACAATTTAAAAACATGCTAGAAACGAGATACTAGCAGTCAAATATATGAATATAATGACAAATTAAAAAAAAATGCGCCAACTTTTAAAAAGTTAAAAATCCAAAATTTAAGCTTGCGCCACCGGATGTACTCGACACTTTCTCAAGATCTCATTGTTTTACTATTGAATTAACTATAGATGTAAAAATAAGTTCTTTTGTAACAGTTTCTTCGCTCGCATTTATCACCTGTTTCCACCTGTTTTTTTTTTGCTTCCGTACCACCTACAATCTTCAAAAATTTAAATGCAATATCAACCGCACTCTGTTTTTAGTCTTAGTGGCATTACCGCCTTGCATGGGGTGAAATGATAAAAGAAATATCTAATGCTTCGTCTCCTCCCCCTGGAGATTGTCAGGCTTTACTTCCGCTTTAATCTCACCCAAACATCTTTTTGTACTATCCGATTGCAGTATTTCGTTTTGTAGGAGTCACAATGGCGTAATGGATAGCGGCTCGGATTGAAGAATCGGAGAGTTCGAATTCCAGTTGAGTTCATTACATTCGCGTAGGTGTTAATACGGGAACGGTATGAATCCTCTTATTCTCTCCCAGATGGATAAATAGCAGGGCAGACTGGGCCCTATAGCCTTGGTACAGTTGTACTCAACAGGGGTGAAATTTACTCCTAGGCGGTGAATTTTATATTTGCAGGGGTAAATTGTGACCACAGTAAGTTTAGGGAGGGAGAGAAGAGCAATTATAGAATTTCGCCTATCTGGCCTGTCACCTTGAAAAAGAAGTGGGGAATGGCATTTCGACAAATGGTGAAAGGGGTACATAGGGCCAGCAAGGTTCGGAAACTCTACCTTAGGAAAAGGAGAAACTAAATTCAAAACTGTACGTAGCCCAGGAGCAGCTAGAGAATGGCGTGCTCTTTTTTTCTGTCTTTGTGACATTATCAGTCACAAAAATATCACCTCTCTCTTTCTGATGATCATTTTCCTGAAAACGTCTTTATTTATATCCCCCCTCCCCCATGATACATTCAGCATTCTTATGTAAAACAACATCCCTGTTGCTACCAGTCTTCTATTCATCTGTGAGGTATTTGTACAGCATTCACTGGCACATGTTCTGTTATTACAATGCGCTTTTAAATTACAGTGCCGCATATTCCGTCATCTGTTCACTTAATTATTTCTGTCCTTGCTGGAAGCTGACATCTCAAATTCGGACCACGCACCTTAGGGCGTTTCTCAGTCCCTGGTGCATAAATGTTGACGTTTTACAATTGATAGTTGTACCAAACAAGAGAATCCAGATCTCTTGAGGACATTCTACAACAGTGACAACCAAAATAGATATCAAAAATAGCACAAAGAATAACATAATGACATAATGAAGATACTGATGTTCCACACGACGCCATACAAAAGGTTAGAAAGGAAACGCCCATTAACATTCAATTGATGACCGTTACTGGAATTGAAAAATGTATTTTCCTGAAAAATTGTTTCGATAGAAAAATTTAAAAACAGTATTATTGACAGTGCAGCCAAAGTATGTCTATGCTTGCCTTTTAAGAAGACACAGTTAAAACATGGTGCGGAAAAAATAGCCACCACATTTGATTTGCATAAATATCGCTAATATAGTGTAATAGTTGAAAAGTTTGGCTCAATTAATTACTACTGAATACGATACGTGCGGTTTTGTGCCACGTGTAAGCTAAACGTACAAAAGAGATAGATAGATAGATAGATAGATAGATAGATAGATAGATAGATATAAATAGATTTTGATAGATAGATAGATATGAATAGATTTTGATAGATAGATAGATATGAATAGACTTTGATAGTGTATATAAAATGGTACATAGATAACAAGGACATATGTAGAGACTTCCATAGGATACATAGATAGATAGATAGGTAGATAGATATGAAGTCAGTTATAAAGAAAAAAGATAGATCGTTAAATAGATAGATAGATAGATATGAAGTCAGTTATAAAGAAAAAAGATAGATCGCTAGATAGATAGATAGATAGATAGATATGAAGTCAGTTATAAAGAAAAAAGATAGATCGCTAGATAGATAGATAGATAGATAGATATGACGTCAGTTATAAAGAAAAAAGATAGATCGCTAGATAGATAGATAGATAGATATGAAGTCAGTTATAAAGAAAAAAGATAGATCGCTAGATAGATAGATAGATAGATAGATAGATAGATAGATATGAAGTCAGTTATAAAGAAAAAAAGATAGATCGCTAGATAGATAGATATGAAGTCAGTTATAAAGAAAAAAGATAGATCGCAAGATAGATAGATATGTAATCAGTTATAAAGAGTAAAGATAGATAGATAGATAGATATGGACAGTGATAGAGATAAACAGAGAAAAATATGCATCGATTGATAGACACAGTGATAGATAATAAATGGACTTAGATAGATAGATAGATAGATAGATAGATAGATAGATAGATAGATAGATAGATAATTTCCTGTAGAAGTTAGGCGTGGTTTAGTGAAAATATCTTATTTTGTCGATGCACTTAATTCATTAATATTTCATATAAAAATTATACTTTATATTACGTGTTTTTTATCAAACCATCTCACTCCACACTTGATCTTCCTTCTTCAATATAGTGTTATTTTCTGTCATTTAATATATATACATACATCAATATGAAATAAAATATATCAAGTTCCTAACTTATACATAGACAGCAATCTAGATACTTATGAAGTTTGAGATTGACTGAGAAAGATGTAACAAGAGAGATAGGAATGAACATATATCGATACATACATATATAGATATATTGGTTCATGTTCCTTTTCTAAAAAAAAAAAAAGATGTATGAAATGACTGATTGATAAAGCAATTGACAAAAATATAGATGGAGGCGCATACACTGTGATAGTTATATTATGAACAAACTGTGATAGATAGATAGATAGATAGATAGATAGATAGATAGATAGATAGATAGATAGATATGAAAAGCCTTTGATAGGGATGATAGATAGATAAAGAGAAAGATATAAACAGACTTAGATAGATAGATAGATAGATAGATAGATAGATAGATAGATAGATAGATAGATAGATAGATAGATACGAATATTGATAGTGATAGAGAAATACAGATAAATAAGAAGAGATATAGATAGATAGATACATATATATGAATAGTGATAGCGAGATAAATAAAGTTATATGACAGACACGGTGATAGATAGATAGATAGATAGATAGATAGATAGATAGATAGATAGATAGATATGAACAGTCACAAAGATAAATAAAGAAACAGAGACATATAGCGACAAACAGATAGATAGATAGATAGAAATGAACAGTGATAGAGATAGAGAAACAGAAACATATAGCGACGAACAGACAGGCATATAGATAGATAGATAGATAGATAGATAGATAGATAGATAGATAGATAGATAGATATGAATAGTCTTATTCTTGTCAAAGCACTTAATTCATTGATATTTCAGATTCAAATTCTACTTTATATTATATGCGCTTTTATCAAACCATCCTACTCCACACTTGATATACCTTCTTCAACATAATGTTATTTTCTGTCATTTAATATATATATACAGACAACAATATGAAACCCACGCATACACAGACATAAATGAAAATTACTGAGTGTAAATTACAACGCTACCTTTCAGTGTCAAAAATGGCTCTTGTCTTCAAAAGTTACGATTAATGCTTTTAAGGTGCATGCTGATGCTATTATTAGGCGCCATTTTGTGTTTGTAATAAGTTGAAAGCCGTAAAAAACGATAAATAATTGAAAATATAAGAAACTGAAAAATAAATAAGATCAAATATAAGGTCTATTAATTTATGTTTAATATAAAAAGCAGCGTATTTAAGACTATGACGTTGTAATTTTTTGTTTCTTTTTTGTTCTTTTTTTTTTTTTTTGCAAATTGCTGTCTGGTCCGAAAGTCTTGTCACACCTACGTTAAATAATTTTCTATTTCAGATGGCGTTCATACTTTCTCGATGTGTGACAGCGTCAATGAAAGTGAATAAATTGAATCCATTATATGTGCTTTGTGTTACTGTATTATTCTATTGTTCTCATTACTTTTTGATAGCGGATGACAAGACTTTCGGACCACACTGTATTACTTATGTGTCTTCATACACTTATTCCAACTTCCGTTTCAAAACAATCTGTTATTTTCTGGAATCGCTATCAGCTGTTTTATTTTTCTTTCGCAGGTGGCAAATTTTCTTTAATAAGAATTTTGAAAATCTAGGCCAGTAGCCGTTAACTTTAGAGTTTTCAAATAAACATATTTGTCTAGTCAAACAAGTGTATACACGAAAACAGAGTTTGGGCACCTCTAGGTGGTGTAATCGTTAGCAAGCTTGTCTCTCTAGAACAATTATGAGTGAGTTCGATCCTCACTGGGTGCTCCATAATTTCAGTCTCGTGCCATATCTAAGCTATGTTTGGAAAATCACTACACTAGAACAGTTTATATTAATAAGAAATTAAATTTCCTAATAAAAGAAAATCCGTTAAATGCTTTAATTATTATATATGAATATAACTGGGGAATACAACTAAATGCTTACTGCCTCAAATAATAGATTGAGTCATAAGTAACTTGTGAATTAATGACGAAATTATTATTCTAACTACTAATCGTTCGTGGCAATTGAGAATGAATATGCGATATATTAAAATACCTTTGATTGTGCATGGTAGTGGACGCATACACAGTGAATTAAAGGAGAAATTTCGCTCCCGTCTATGATAACGCAAGTTCGCATACATAAAGAATACCATCAGAAAAAAATGTGGAACTCGGACATGCTCTTCTATTCCAACCACTATATTCACCTGACCTTTTATTAACCGGTTATTAATTTTTGATTGTTGCAGTCTCCCCGAAGATGAAGAAGAGGCTTGAAACAACGGAAATGTTCATCTACAGAAGACTACTGACTATATTATGTGAGTAACGAAGATGTTTTATAGAAAATGGAGACAAAAAGGAAACTCTTATTTAAAAGGAAGAGACATTTGAAATTTCTAGGGCACATAATGAGGAAACAGGGCTTGGAATATTTGATACTCATGTGAGCGATTGAAGAGAAGCGAAATAGAGGAAAACAATGCAAAACATACTTAGATATCTTTGAGTAAATGGATGTTGGAACAGGGTTTAGAAATAATAAAAGAAAGATACATTTTATTAAGAACTACAGAAAAGACAAAAAAAAAAGAAGCAGAACGTTTGATGGGGCAAAATTTATCTCATGAAAACCAGATTCAAGAGTTCGTCGTTTTTTTTTTTTTGTTTTTTTCATATCCAAACCTGCGGATAGTATAGAAGTAATGGAAGTAATGGTGAATATATAATTGAATAAAAAATGTAAGTGTATTTCATTTTTGTAAGAATAGGAAATTATTTATGACTTAAACTAATATAAACGAACAATGTTTACATATCCCCGAACTAAATAAATGCTTATAGATTCATAATAAAAGAAAATGGCTGAATGTAATATCAAATAACATAGGAGTAAAAGATATACCGTAATAGAAAATTCAACGAAAAAAATCGACTGCATTTTTACATAATCACTGCACCTGTTGCATTTTGTAACTTCTGCGCATAGGCGATCATGGCTCTTCACAGTTTCATTTCATTTATTTTCTTTGAATTCAGATTCCTTCTCTGGAAAGATAGTGGAGTAGTCTCTGACAGCTTTTGAACCTTTCGTATTCAGTGTTGTTCTTTCTTTTATAAATCCAACTATGTTTCCACCTATCTGACTAGTTGCCGGTTAGACGAGGCTTTATACTAAATCATCTCGTAATTGAAAATTCTGTTAGATTGGAGAAAAGCAACAGCACCCGACAAAAAAAAAAAAAGAAAAAATTGGAGGATATAACGGAGGTTGTTATGGAAGACATATTTATTCTCTTCTTTTAACTTCCACCGTTATAGATACTATTATCCGTGGTATAATAAAAACCGTACTTGACGGACGTAACGGAATAGCTAAATCAAAAAAAAGTAATGATAAATGATAGCTTTATAATGCTACGGCGTATACAAAATTAAATATATGCACATATATACACGTCGTGCGGTACGCAGGTAAATTTAATATATATATACAACAAACGATGTATAAATAAAAATGACCTTACTTCTAATATTTAGCTAAGAGAAAATTGAAGTTACGGCGGTTTCTCTATAAACCTAGTTAAGCCATATTTTTTTCTTTAAGGTCTACGGCTATAGGCTAGGGATGTCCTCCTTCTCTGTGCTATAATCACAACTCCCTTCCACAACTTTATCCTCTGACGTCATTCGCCGGCCGTCACGTGACCCTCCTGACTATCTCAACGAAAAAGAGAGAAACGCCGTCCGTATCCCAACAAGAGCAATAACTCATACAATGTTGTGGTTTTTGTTCCTATAATCCACATAAGGGTCTACATGGATACTCTTCTGGTTTAATTTGGTATTTTAAATGCGCTCTGGTAAGTAGAAGCGATACGAACCCTGTCACATTCAAAAGGACCAGGGCCACGTCACATTCCTATCTTTTATGTAATCTTACTTATTATAAAACCCAGGTTGTGTGTGTGTGTGTCTGTGTGTGTGTGCGTGTGTGTCTGTTCATTTATATATTGGATTGGATTTCCTACATTTTTCAACCGATTTCAACAAAACTTCACAGGACTACGTGAAATTACCTTGCGGTGGTTCTGACAGCGCCAAAAATTGGAAAAAAACGCAATTGTTTTGGCACAAAATCAATTTGAAAACACGATTAAGAGGCATTAAAGGGGACAACTCATATCGAGTTATACTTATTATAAAACCCAGGTTGTTTGTGTGTGTGTGTGTGTGTGTGTGTGTGTGTGTATGGGATCGGATTTCCTACATTTTTCAACCGATATCAACAAAACATCGCTTTTTTTTGGCAGGTAGTGTTTCTTATTGTCTTTCACACTTTTTTCTTTATTTTTACATTCAGAATGCTTTAAAAATTCCATTTACAAGACAATTGTTTATAATAAAATTCTATTCTATCGATTGACACATAACGATTGAAAACAATGTTTTTGTTTGAGTTTGGGTTTGACCAATTCGTAAAAAAAAAAAAAAAAAAAAAAAAAAAAAAGAATTAAGACATGCGTGTCCGTCAACCTTAAACAATATTCTTTGTCAATTTTATTTTTCAGTCTTTATAATGGTCGATACTTGATCTCTCTCTTACTGTTACACCCCCGGGCAACGCCGGGCTCTACTGCTAGTCAGTGCTGATCTGGAGATTAAATCTCTCAAGATACAATAAGCATTAAAGGCACATGACACAGTGGATAAAAGCTTTGGTTAGATCCACGGACAGGACCCAGTGACTTGTGAGTTCAATAACTGGTTAAGGTAGTGGATAACTTGGAGAGGTGAATTACCAGGAGGTAACTGATAAATGACATCCATTAGACATGACATCTGGAACTAGAACAGTCTACCCCAGCGAGCGAAGTAAAGGGTTCAGGTTCAACATTCCAACGATCCTGAAGAAGGTCGGAGCGTACAACGGCCGAAACGTTGTGATAAATATTGCGACAAAGATGAGGACAATAGTCCGAATAATGTAAATAGTGTACATAAATAGTACATATAGACAGATTCTCAAGATGATGTTGCAATTTTCAAAAATTCCATTGATCAAGTAAAAACAAGGATAATGTTTATTTACCCCACCCCCAACCCACTGGTTGGATTAATGCAATAACCCAAACACGTTCGCCAATTATACTAGTAATACTCTATTAGTAAAACATGGATGTACTAAGTTCTCAACAGTCAAGACACGTTGCATAAACAAATTTTTCGAAAACGATCAACAAGGTCTATTTAAGAACAGAAGCGAAGCAAGCAGTCTCCTTTTTATTTGTTTTTCTTTAATATATTTAATATCTCTGGTTGAAAAGTCACTTTTCTTTCCCAATTTGCATGTTTTAAATGCGACATTAGACAGTCAATAATCAAATAAAAACAAAATTGAGAATTAACTTCAGAATATGCACAGGGCGTTTATAAATTCATGACAGCCGCGTATGAAGGTGAATAGCCTTTAGAATATATATGCACACTGAAACGTACTTTAAGTACCTTCACCGGCGGTTCAAAGGCTATAGCCAGGTTGCGAACAGGGTCGGATATCGACCATCTTTAAAACAATTCACTTAAGGACCCCCGGGGGAAAGGCTGACTGACTGACTGACTCCGGCTTGCCTTCGAGGTCACAAAGACGAAAGGCTGACAATCAGTTTACCACGATTTTGATCATGAATAACAATCATGCCCAAACTAAATTGTATTTAGTGGTCAAATTTGATTTTCTGAAACCATTAATGATCTGCGACGATATTCTGGGATTGTTTTTTTTTCATATTTTAGTTTTCTTTCTTCGAGATTATTTTATTTCTTTTTCGTTATTTTTATTTGTTTATTCTTGTCACAACTGATTTTACTGCTCAAGAAATACATTTATCATTCTTGTATCAGTTGCTAAATTGTTTTTTTTTTAAGCATTACGCCCCGAGCAAGACGTGAAGCCACTAGGATGCAGGGTTTGCAGAAGATTTGGAGCGAGTGCAGAGAGGAGTGATAGAAGAAAGGATGAGGAGAGGGATAGCGGATAGATCAAGTTAACTGGAGATGTCGATTGACATTACATTTGAATAGTTAGAGATTCAGGGAAACAGTAATTGGGATGGGTGTTCCACAGGCAAGAGGTGCGAGGTATAAAGTTATTGGAGTAGAAGAGACGGCTACATTTAAACGTTTCTATAGTTTAAGGGTAAAAGCGGGATGCCAGCCTCGTAGGACGCTTGAATTCATGGAGTCTGGGAACCAGTGAAAGCAGCTCAGCGGAGCAATTACCATGAAAGAATTTGTAGATAAGACAGAGAGAGGCGACTGTAGACGAGATAACAGATCAGGTATTAGGTATCCGTCTCCGGATCTTGTCAAGACCTCCGAAGTAAACAGAAGGTGCCCCAGACCATATATGGCAGCAATACTCCATGCAAGGGCGAATGGTTGATTTGTATATTTGAAGTATCGATTCCGGGGAGAAAAATTTCCTGGCGCGGCACAGGGAGCCAATTTTCCTTGCGGTGGAAGAAGCAATTGACTCAATGTATTTGTTCCATCTCAGGTCAGCCGTCAACGTGAGACCGAGCAGCCGCAGAGAGGTGCTCTCGAGCAGTTGAGCGTCAGATATTCTAATAGAGGGCAGGGAAGGATCTCTGTGGTGATTAATAGAGAGCAGTTTTGTTTTTGAAGCATTAAAGTTGACCAGCCAATTCCTGCCCCAGTTCACAACCGATTGGAGGTCCTTTTCGAGACGCACGGCCAGGTTATTTTTGTTACTGACACTAGATTTGTTTTTGAGGCAGGAATAAATTGTGGTGTCATCCGCGTAGATGTCAACTTGGGAATTTATGGCAGTCAACGTGAGACCGAGCAGACGCAGAGAGTTGCTCTGAAGAAGTTGACTATCAGACATTCTAATGGGGTGCAGGGAAGGATCTCTCTGGTGATTAATAGAGAGTAGTTTAGTTTTCGAGGCGTTAAAGTTGACCAGCCAGTTCTTGCCCCAGTTAACAACCGATTGGAGGTAAAAAAAAGAAAACATTTCAACAGAGAAAAATATCGCACAGAAGCTCAACTAAGTATTAGGAAAGAAAATTTCCTTTAAAGTCTACTGAATAGTTATATCATATCAATACACCTATATGTCAGGGAATGATAGACAATTTATTTACAAATGAAAAGGTGACTGCAACAGAGGGTCTTCAGAAGGATGATGAGAATATCATAGACGGCCAATATGAGCAAAGAGAATACATTTAAATAAAATAAAAACGAAAAGGTCAGTCACACTTCATCATTTATTCTGTTACCATCTTTTGCCCCTCTGTAGTCACAATTCCCTCTCATCCCCTAATTCTGGTTCATGGCGACATTCAAATGCATTCAATGGCTCGCCGGTTCCATTTACATCAAAACCTATTGCAAATGGACATCGATCTGCGCAGATCAAGGCAACCGGCGTCTGACAGACGACATCTTGTTTAAATATTATCGAGAGATAAACGCTTCCCAACCATTGATCGCTTTCAAGAGGATCTTTCTTTTGCTGGACTAATTACCAATAAGAAAGTGACAGTTTAAATTTTGCGGATATATAATGAGAAAAGAGGGCTCGAAGAATTTGACATCCATATTGAAAGCAAATTGATGGAATCTTCCCTTGTAAAACATTTGCCTGAAACTATGTGGGACGTTCATGTTTTAATTATGTCTTTATCAATAGCTGCATCTCCCATCCCAGATCAGAGTGGACCTAGGAACAACAGCAATTAACAGATGGTTCCACGCTTTTCAAAACGTCCCGATAAAAGGTCTTCCAGTTCAACCAAGAACTTTGGGTTGATTTATAGTAACCCCAATATGTCCTGGGTGGCAATATTAAACACGAAAATAAAACTATCCTTGGGACAACCCGAAGAAAATTAAGAGAAGTCGTCGTGTGAAAATTAATTGAAACAAAACGAATAATTCCATCATTATTTACTGTTTTTTTTTTTCAAATGAAACATGTTACTAATTCGTATGTCCATCTCACGAATTTGTTCCTTGCAAATTGATCACAGATACACGATTGGATTTAAATCAGGAGAGTCTCCCTGCCAGTCTATAGTACTTTGATTTGCACGCTGGTAAGGCTTGTGAGTGTATTCGTGCAGAGTTACAATTTACGTACGCTTCCTTGGAGCAACGTCCATCGCAGACAATGGCCTTAGGACAACTAATCGAGAGTCGGGACAATAGTGTCTGGGCATGATTAAAACCTGATGCAATCAAGGATGACGCAATATTTTTCAACGCTAATTAAATTTCATCATACCCCTCCCACCGAAAACAGATTCATATTACTGCATTCCACTGCAAATGACCTAATCCGAGGAAAACAATAGAAATCAGTTACATCTGTCATTCCAGTGAGTCGAAAACTGAGCGTATAGTGAAAGAAAGGAAAACTCAAGAGGTTGTTTCAATTAATTTGCCCAAAAAAGAGAATAACATTTGAGAGAGACATTATATTCGTTAACCAAATCCTCATTTCCAAGGAAAGAATATTTATATAAGAAATTTAAATTATAGAAAAATCCAAAATTGACTTAAATATTGAACATGAATGAGGACGGTTCAGCTTAAATTCCAACTACATGAAGAACGTCGGAGCGTACAACGGCCGAAACATTGTGAATATAGCAATGAAGATTAGGATAACAGTCCGAATTATGTAAATAATACAAGTATTTCATAAATGTCCGAATATTCATGAACCATGTAGCTAAAAAAAATTCCTTGAGGAGACATGACCCAGTGGACAAAGAACTTGGTTAGATCCAGGGATTAGACCCAAAGAGTTGTGAGTTCAATACCAGGCCACAGCAGTGGTGAACCAAAAGTGGGACAATTGAGTTAAAGAGAAATAACTGATATATTCGGAAGAAGAATGGCAAGTAGAACTAGAATAATCTACACCGGTTGACGAAATAAAGGGTCCCGTTCAAAATTTCAATCACCTGAAGAAGGCCGGAGCGTACAACGGCCGAAACGTTGTTTATATGACATTGAAGATGAGGATGACGGTCCGAATAATATGAAATATTGCAAGTAAACCTAATACCTCATCTCAGAGATCCAGTCACATGAAGAAGGCCGAAGCGTACAACGGTCGAAACGTTGATTATATGGCAATGAAGATGAGGATAACAGTCCAAAAAATGTAAATAATGTAAGTAATCATAGCACTTCATATCAGAGATCAAATAACCTGAAGAAGCCCGGTGCGGATAATCATCGAAACCTTGTTTATATGGCAAAGATGAGGATAACAGTTTGCATAATATAAATCATTCAAGTAATCATAATGCCTCACCACAGAGATCCAGTCACCTGAAGAAGGCCGAAGCTTACAACGGTTGAAACGTTGCGCATATGGCAATGTTGATGAGGATAGCAGTCTGAATAATGTAAATAATGCAAGTAATCATAATACCTCATCTCAGTGACCCAATAACCTGAAGAAGGCCGTAGCGTACAACGGTCGAAACGTTGTGCATATGACAATGAAGATGAGGATAACAGTTTGTATAATGTAAATAATGCAAGTAATCATAATACCTCATCTCAGATATCCAATAACCTGAAGAAGGCCGAAGCGTACAACGGTCGAAACGTTGTGTATATGGCAATGAAGATGAGGATAACAGTTTGAATAATGTAAATAATGCAAGTAATCATAATACCTCATCTCAGAGAACCAGTCACCTGAAGAAGGCCGAAGCGTACAACAGTTGAAACGTTGTTTATATGGCAATGAAGATGAGGATAACAGTATAAATAATATAAGTAAGTCTTGGGTTTTTTTTTGGGGGTTCATACTTTTTATGCATTTTCATTATTTCTTTCTTTCTTTTTAGCTCTTTCTTTTATATTTTTTCTTTCGTTTTATCTAATTTTCTTTTGGTTTTCTTCTTTTTTTTTCACCATTCACTTTGATTTTATTTTCCCTTTTCTTTAACCACTTTCTCGTTTCTTCAATTCTATTAACTTTTATTCTTTTTAAACCAATTTATTTTCTCCGATTCCGTTTTGTTTTATATTTTTTGTCTTATCTTTCCTTTTACAATTTTCTTTCTTCCTATATCTCTTCCACGTCACCACGTGGCCATCTCTTCTTTTTTTTTTTATTCCCTCTCTCCCCAGACAGCTTCAGCACAAACAAATTCAAATCTTGCCTGGCCTCGTTAACAGGAGTTTCATCGCAAAATTAAATAAGCATAATGAAGGACACAACCGTGTCTAAACAAACTGCATTTACCCAAGTGAACCGACTTAATTACTTTGCACTGTAAAAACTACTTTCTGTGCAGTGATTTCTTGCTTGTAAAATAAAGAGAGGATCATTTTGGTTGACCTTTTCTGTATACGAGGTCTAGACCTATCCAGCCATTTTGAATTGCACGGTCTTAATGCAGCTTAACACTCATTCACAGAGGACCGGTCTGACAAGTGTGAACAGAAACTCAATGTTGGACAACCTATTTAGTAGTGAAATACATGTTTTTAAATTTGCGTACATTAAGAGAATTGATTATATTTACATTACAAGATTATATATATATATATATATATATATATATATATATATATATATATATATATATATATATCATCCAGTGGACAGACTGTGTTAAGTGGTAAACCTGTATCTTTTTTTTCAGCGAGTTTAAATAGATTTTATATATATATATATATATATATATATATATATATACGCCCGTGTGCTTAAGTAGAAAATAGGAAAAACACTGTAAATATTTTTTCTTCTTTCCAGGCCGAAGCGATTTTTTTTTTTAAATAGATTTTTGAAGGAATCATATTTATATATATATATATATATATATATATATATATATATATATATAGCACGCAAGGGTTGTAGAGGATTTGAGCGAGATAGGTAGAAAAAGAGGAAAGAAACACGTTCAAGGTGGAAAATATTTTTTTTTATTTTTTTCAGGGAAACAAGAATAGGGAAGGGAGTTCCACAGGTGAGAGGTGCGAGATATCGAGCTATTGGGGTAGAAGAGGCGGCTACATTTAACAGGTTCGACAGTGAAAGGGTGAGAGCGGTATGCCAGCCTCGTACGGCGCTTGAATTCATGAAGTCTGGGAACCAGCGAAAGCAGCTCCTCGGGGCAATTACCATGAAAGTATTTGTAAAAAAAAAGATAGAGAGAGGCGACAGCACGTCTGTGAGAGTGCGACTGCAGACGAGATCTTAGATCTGGGCCAATTATATTGAATATCCGCCTCTGTAATTCTCCATGTAAGGGCGAATGGTTGATTTGTAGATTGGAATGATCGATTCCGGGGTGAAAAATTTTCTGGCGAGGCACAAGGAGCCAACTTTCCTTGCGGTGGACGAAGCAATTGACTCAATGTATTTTTTCCATTTCAGATCAGTAGACAATGTGAGACCGAGCAGCGGCAGAGAAGTGCTCTCGAGAAGTAGTGCGTCAGACATTCGAATGGACGGGCAGGGAAGGATCTCTCTGGTGATTAATAGAGAGCAGTTTTGTTTTGGAGGCGTTAAAGTTAACCAGACAATTACTGCCCCAGTTCACAACCGATTGGAGGTCGTTTTCGAACGGCCAGGTTAGTTTTGTCGGTGACACTAGATTTGTTTTTGAGGCAGGTATAAATTGTAGTATCGTCCGGGTAGATGAATATATATATATATATATATATATATATATATATATATATATATATATATGTGTGTGTGTGTGTGTGTGTGTGTGTGTGTATGTATGTATAAAAGGCTCAAACGTAATATTCGATGTAATATTAGTGTTTCAGCCTTTTTATATTATATTCTTACTCTGTCCTGACATTCAGCTCTACCTGGATTCTATCCTCTTGTAAATTTATGCATATCTATATGTTGGATCTATCGATATATATATATATATATATATATATATATATATATATATATATATATATATACACATTTCCAAAAAAAAATATTATATTTTTTCGTTTAGGATACGACCAGAACTTTTCCAAAAAGAAAATAGTTTCCATGCCTGATGATGACCGGAAGACCCGTCGAAAGTACTTGCAGTCTTAAGGAAGACCTAATACACTTTACAATTTTATAAAGACAAGGATCGTAAAATTCCTGTGTGGTTAGTGGGTTAATGCATTTTTAAAACACCGATTTGATTTCGTCATTTTACATCAATATCTTTACTAATTTCATTTTATATGAATGAATCCTTGTAATATATATATATATATATATATATATATATATATATATATATATATATATATATATAAAGTACTTGAGAAAGGAAATAAAAAATACGGCATTTTCCTTAGCTAATTTAATAACAGCATTAAGAAGTTGATCCGTGGATTTGAGAGGATTAAATAAAAAATAAATAGACATAATATGTTCAAATTATTCCACCAAATATCCTATATATATATATATATATATATATATATATATATATATATATATATATATATATATATATATTAAGGAAAAAGGACAATAGAAAAACTGTACTTTTTAGCCGATGCGTTTCGACCGAAGTGGACTTATTCAAGACAAAAAACGAAATGAATTTATTGAAACAAAGTATCTATAAAAAACAAACAAAATGTCCTTAACAACTAGAAGAATTTTAAAAACGCTTTTTTATATTCATATGATCAACTGAAAAATTACGTCAATTACTTTATATTTGAAGAGAATATTTTCACTCGTAGAAATATTGTTTGTAATGTCTTCTTGACAGATTCAACCGTTTTCTTTTCATTTCCTGATATATTTGTTCTGTACTTTAACTTGGGAGAGTAATGATTCTGTTATGTCATTCGCAGACAGTACAGTTTCGCTGTATCACAGCTACTCAGTGCGACTAACCGTCAGGAAGCCTCAAGCTTGGGTCGAAACTCGACTGATTTGGAATCAGTCGGAGTTTTTTTTACCCCTAAGCCATCAGTACTCGACAGAGATATCTTACACATTCCTAAGTCTACTATTCTTCTGTGCATCGAATATTGCTGCCACATCTGGTCTGATGCTAATATACAAAGGAAAATCTGCAATTATATTAGTCCTGACATGGCATCTTAGACTTAGTTTCTTTGGCACTACCGTAATGTAGCGTAACTTTTCTATAAATATTACATGTTAATTCTTCTAATAAGCTTTCCACCTTTTCGAATTTAAGCACAGTATTAGTTAATCAGATAGAAACTGCTAATTCTAGCTTATCGTTTTTAACGAATTTAAACAAACGTTAATCAGACAGACTGCTCATATTCATTTTACTGGAGAGCTTTTATATATATATATATATATATATATATATATATATATATATATATATATTTTATTACGAGACCCATTTTTGTCCTACTTCTTTATGCTTACACTATGAAATACAAAATCTAAATTTAAATGATGACTTAAATCTGTAGCTACTAGATAACCTTTTTACCATACGAAAGGCTTCCATTCACCAAAACCTTTAGATTTCGTACTAATAGAATGGAACTTTCTAGAAGTCTCTAGAAACTTCTGCTGGATTCTAGAGGGTCCAAAAAAATATATATATATATATATATATATATATATATATATATATATATAAACAGGAGTTCGTATCAACTACCCAGTTGTCTCCTGAACCCACAGCCACCACTATTGAGGTCGACTCCGGTCCTTTTGATTCAAGAACAAAGCTTCGACCAAAAGAATTTAAGTTCCGACATTCCTCCGAGAGAAAAGACTATGGTAAATATTTCTCCTTTTTTTTTCTCACGCGTCTAGCGTCTGGAAAGAATCTTATATTCCAGTCAAGTTTGATCTTCAAAAAATGATTATGCAATATCAATTTTTATTTTCTATTTTCTTAATTTCTGTTCTTTTACTGTTCTCTCTACTTAATAGTATTCTTCGCTTTCACATATTATTCGACTCTGAATCTTAGAGGCTTTATTGCCTTGCTTGAGGTGGAATAATTTGAAGATATTATGTCTGTTAAAAACAAATACGAGAGGTATTTCATTTTTATCGCCATAATTATACTGAAATAATTTCGAAAAGATACTGCTACATACATTTAATGTCCCCACCCCTGATCAATCTTTTCTTATTGATAATTCTTCTTCACTTCGGTTCTGTTTTTATAACTAGGAACATTCCCAGCGGCTCTTTTCCAAATTCCCCAATCTAAGGACCGGACTGTCACAGTAGGACAGCAAAAATAGTCGTAAAGTTCGTCTCTCTTCCTGACACGTCCATCGACCAGAAAGTCCTGCCAGCCGCACAATGTCCTACCTTCGAATCGCCGCCAACCAATCAGAACTGAATTAACCAGCCAATCAGATGGCGACCTCTCGCAGATGTCCGTGCTTGTCGGTAATTAGCAGCTGCAGGCATGCGCAGGTGGAGATGACATTTCTGGAAGGAGAAACAGTTGACTTTTAGAACTACTGAAGCCTATACCGACCATAAAAATAAGAATATATAACGAATTCGGATTTGGTAAGCCATCGATGTTTTAAACGCTTTGCAATGGGATTTGGACTTGTTCTCTGGATAGTGACTACTGCTTTGAGAAATTGTCACAAGATAATTGGTATCTTGTCTTCTGTTTCGTGTTCTGCTTGAAATGCCTCTAGATAATTCGTGATCGTTTCCAAAATATGACAGTTCTTTCCTGTGTTCATATGCGTTGCGTTGATGCGTTTCGTTACTGAGTGTTAGTTATTAAAAATGGTATTAAGTCTAGCATAGAAAATGACAGGAATCCAGAGCAAGAAAATTGGAAAAAAAGATAGATAGATAGATAGATAGATATGAAAAAACCGACATAGAGAGATAATGAACAGCCTTAGATAGATAGATAGATAGATAGATAGATAGATAGATAGATAGATAGATAGATAGATAGATATGAAGAAATATAGATATAAATAGATATAGATAATTGAGATAGAGAAGGAGGGTGTTGAAATGTTGCAAAAAGAGACAAACAAAATATAAAAAAAAAAAGACAGATAACAGCAAAAAGGACCGAAAGAAAGAATGAAAGAGAACTCTTTGACGGAAAGAACCGAGGTGCAGTTTAAGACAGAGTTAGATAGATAGATAGATAGATACTGAACAGGCTTATAGATAGATAGATAGATAGATAGATAGATACTGAACAGGCTTATAGATAGATAGATAGATAGATAGATAGATAGATAGATAGATAGATAGATACTGAACAGGCTTATAGATAGATAGATAGATAGATAGATAGATAGATAGATAGATCCTGAACAGGATTATAGATAGATAGATAGATAGATAGATAGATAGATAGATAGAACAGGTTTATAGATAGATAGATAGATAGATAGATAGATAGATAGATAGATAGATACTGAACAGGTTTATAGATAGATAGATAGATAGATAGATAGATAGATAGATAGATAGATAGATAGATACTGAACAGGCTTATATATATATATATATAGATAGATAGATAGATAGATAGATAGATAGATAGATAGATACTGAACAGGCTTATAGATAGATAGATGGATAGATAGATAGATAGATAGATAGATAGATAGATACTGAACAGGCTTATAGATAGATAGATAGATAGATAGATAGATAGATAGATAGATAGATACTGAACAGGTTTATGGATAGATAGATAGATAGATAGATAGATAGATAGATAGATAGATAGATAGAGATAGATATGCCTGAACAGGCTGATAGATAGATAGATAGATAGATAGATAGATAGGTAGATAGATAGATAGACAGGATGATAGATAGATAGATAGATAGATAGATAGATAGATAGATAGATAGATAGATAGATAGATAGATACTGAACAGGCTGGATAGATAGATAGATAGATAGATAGATAGATAGATAGATAGATAGATAGATACTGAACAGGATTATAGATAGATAGATAGATAGATAGATAGATAGATACTGAACAGGATTATAGATAGATAGATAGATACGTAACAGGCTTGTAGATAGATAGATAGATAGATAGTGAACAGGCTTATAGATAGTGAACAGGCTTATGGATAGGTAGATAGATGAACACGCTGATCGATCGATAGATAGATAGATAGATAGATATGAGCAAATATAGACATAGATAGATTGATATAGATGATGAATGTGTTGAAATTGCTGAAAAAAGAAGAGAAGTAACAAACAAACAAAGGATATCAGAAAGTCTCTTTAAGGGAATATGTAAGCTGGGGAAAGAAAGAAATAAGTGAAAACGAAATAAAGTTTTAGACATAGATAGATAGATAGATAGATAGATGCAGTAATCCTTATATACAGGTTGCTAGAACCGATTATAAATGTGTCTAACATATTAACTATATAAGAATACAGTAGTCATAACACTACACTGTGACGCTAAATATAATCACAGAAATATAATTTTTTTAAATATTTTACACTAAGTAAGGCAATAAAGCCACTAAGATGCACGGGTTTCAGAGCGTGTAAAATATGAGAAAAATAAAACAGTATTAATGGTGGAGAACAATAAGGACTGAAATTAAAGACTAAGAGGAGAATGATGGACATTTTTTTTTAGATCACATTTGACTGGAAAGCCAGAAGCTGGAAGAATGTTAGACATGCCAGGAATACGAGAGAAGAAACTATTAGCACAGAATTTACGGTTGTCTTAGCCCTATTTCAGCTGTAAGTTGAGGAGACCTCAATGCCAATCTAGTACTGCTCTTGAACAAGAACTTCATCAAAACAATTACCATGAAATTATTTATAGAAAACGCACGTAAAAACTACGATCCGTCTGTGGAGAAAAGATTGATGCCGAGATGCCAGGTTAGGACCACTAAAAAGCCAGATTATACCTTGGATTTTATAAACAATCTCTCTAGCAGTAGCGCCAGACCAAATGTCTACCAATGTTTAAATTTGTTATTAAAATGGTTTACAAAATAAATACTCTATACAAATTGAAATATTATGCCCCAAAATTAAATACTTTTAGTATTTGGACTATTTACATTGTTTGGACTAATGTTATCATCTTTATTGTCAGGTTCACGACGTTTCGGTCTTTGTACACTCCGACCTTCTTCCGGACAATTAAGACGAGGACAACAGTCTGAACGATGTAAGTAATGTAAATCATTGCAATAACTCATCTGAGAAATATAAACATATCCTATTTTATAGTAAAATAAAATATGTACACGTGACTTTTCATTGATTGATCAAGTTGCTTATTTCATGCTACGATGGGTTTTAAATAATACCGGGTGTCCATAAAGTTTGTATGAACTTTAAAAAAATTTAACACTTTATTTGCATTCGCGATAGAAATAATTTGTAAAAAGGATTAGAAAGAAATAAATCTATATTTTTTAAGGTTTTATTGAGATATTATTTACGTTTCCACCTGTCCTCCATTATTAGCAATACAAAGGGTAATACGATTTTGAAGTTCACGGAAAATATTTGCCAACTGATTTACAATAATGCTTGAAATCATATTAGTTATTTTACCTATATTTAAAACTAAGTACATTAAAATTTATAACATTTTTTTACAGATTATTTCTAACGCAAATACAAATAAAGTTATAATTTTTTAAATTGCACACGAACTTTATGGACACCCAGTATATTTTGTGTAGTATAAATAATTATTTTTCTAAGTAAATACTGCATTAATTTTTTTTTTTTTTGAGAATAACAGAGATTTTGCATGAAAAAAGGTAGTGGCAGATCTAATTTCAAATCGGAACTAATTTCAACTCTATTTGAAAAGCCCTAACCCTTAGTTAGGGTCGAACAGATGGAATCCATACATTTCCAATACGTTAATTAGAACCTAGTTCTCCTAGATCTCATTCCGAGTCGCTAACCACTACACAATCTGCGCATCCAATAAATTAGTTATAAATTGATTGAAAATGTCTGTAAGTTTTGCAAGGGTTTACGCTATTTTTTTTTCCGCAAGGAACGAGCAGAAAAATCAACACTTGTATTCATTGCACTTTCGGAATGCAGAAAGTGTTTTTTTTTTTTTGTTTTTGCGAAATATTCTGACGATCAACAGGATTTACAGAAAATTGAAAAAGGTCGAAGCGCATAAAATCAATGAAAGCGATATTAATCTGTATCTAAATAATTCAAAGGCAACAAATTACGGTGCACTTATTTCGATTAACTGCATTACTTAGAACAATTACTTCGCTACTTATCGGGAAATTGGAGGTTGTAAAGAATATGGGAGCACCTCTTAATTGCTGTTGCTCCAAGGTTCCTCCTGAGCTGGTGTGGTAGCTTCTTTTAGGTTCCAAACTATGTTCAAATAATGACCTCACAAACAAAAAAAAAAAAAAAACAAAATACAAAGAAATTATAAAAAAAATATATATTGTTATAATATAAATACCATCAATATATTTTTATATGTATCATGTCATCCCATAAGTTCTGTCCGAATTTTAACTTTTTGTGAAAATGAACAAAATTTAAGAGTATTTTATAATGTCTAATGGAGCTGAACATTATTTTTATGATTAGATGCATTTAAACTGATCGAATTTTATTTCAGAGAACAATACAATTAAGTTTTGTTTAATTAAAACCCTGCTAACATGGAAGTAGCCAAGAATCATTTAAGGCACATAATGCTTTATGAGTTCAAGAAAGGAAACTCAGCAGCCGAAGCGGATAGGGACATTCACTCAGTTTATGGAGAGGAATGTGTGAATGAAAGAACTTGCAGAAGATGGTTTGCAAAATTCAGAGGTGGAGATTTCACCTTTGAAGATGAAGATCGAACCGGACGTCCAGTTGAATTTGATGAAAAGCTTCTTGAAGCAGCCCTTGAAGAAAATCCTGCTTTATCAGTTGAGGAATTGGCAGTGGTTCTCAGTTCAAACCATACAACTGTTCATCGTTATCTTCAACAACTTGGAAAAGTTCCTAAACTTAGAAAATGGGAGCCTCATGAATTGTCTGAAAACAACCTCAAATCCCGAGTTGACATCTGCTCTTCTCTCCATTCCCGCCAACTTGTTTCACCTTTTTTGGATAGACTTATGACTGGCAAAGAAAAATGGATGTTTTATCGAAATGTTAAGCGTCGTAGACAGTGGCTTGGTAAAGGAGAAAGACCCCAACCACAGCCGAGAAAGGAACTTCATGGGCAAAAGGTTCTTCTTTCTATCTGGTTGGATCGCCAAAGAATGATCCACTTTGAATTCTTACAACCTAATGCAACAATTAATGCTCAAATATACTGTCAGCAATTAGAGCATTTGAACCAAGCTTTGAGGAAAAAAATCTGCTCTAGTGAATCGAAAAGAGGTGATGTTTCATCAGGACAATGCGCGACCCCACACAGCAAGAATCACGTCACAAAAGATCGAAGAACTTGGTTGGGAGAAAATTCCTCATCCACCTTATTCTCCCAATCTTGCTCTTTCAGACTACCATTTGTTTCAGAATCATTTGAAAGAAACAGCTTTTGTAACACAGGAAGATGTTAAAACTGACATTTATGAGTTCTTCGAATCAAAGCCAAAAGAATTTTACAGTAATGGAATTAGTAAGCTTGTTAATAGATGGAAGGAAGTCATAGATAATCAGGGAAAATACATTTTTGATTGAATCTGTAATTCAATGTAACATTTGGTCACTTGTTTTCTTTATTCAAAATTCGGACAGAACTTATGGGATGACCTGATAAAAAAATTACCAGGTCTATAATTTAATGTTTTTATTCTATTGCGTACAAAATATATTTAACTGAAGGCATTAAATTTGTTTAAAATATTTAGATTTCGGCATTAAATAACCCATAGAGATGTTGATATGCCGCTAAAAAAAACCGGCAGCCAACCAACTAACATGAGAGATTTCTTTCATTTTATCATATTCGTCCATATAATACCCTAGAATTTATTAATGAATTCAAACTGTGTATCAATATATAACATCCATAAAGCTACAACGTAAAACACACATATCACCACCTCTTGTAATCTTGTCCCCACAAATATGTATATGCGTAAAAGCCGAGTATCAACTTTTTTTATTTTTATAAGCGCTTCACCCCAAGCAAGGTGGGAAGCCACTAACACGCAAGGGGTTACAGAGAGTTTGAGCGAGAGCGAATAGGTGTGAGAGAGGAAAGGATGAAGAGAAGGATAGGGGATAGATCAGGGCATCTGGAGACGTCGATTGGCATTACATTTGAATAGTTGGAGATTATAGCTATCAGGGAAACAGGAAAATGGGAGGGAGTTCCACAGGAGATTCATGAAGCTATTGGAGTAGAAGAGACGGCTACATTTAACATTTTCGATAGTGAAAGGGTGTGAGCGAGATACCAGCCTAGAAGAATGCTTAAATTCATGAAATTTGGGAACCAGCTAAAGCAGCTCCTCGGAGCAATTACCATGAAAGTATTTGTTAAAAAAAAAAGACAGCGGTAGGCGACAGCACGTCTGTGAGAGAGTGACTGCAGACGAAATGCCAGATCAGGACCAATTACGTTGCATGTCCGTCTCTGGATCTTATCATAAAACCTTGAGACAAACATAAGGGTCACCAGACCATATATGGCAGCAATACACCATGCAAGGACGAATGGTTGATTTGTATATTTAAAAGAAATGTATTCAATTGTTTTATTTCTTCAAAGCTACCTAGATAATAAAATTTCGGTATTAAATGACCCATAAGTTGTTGATGTGCCGTTAAACAAACAAATCAATCTCTACATTGAAATCAAAGGATTTCGTAAAAGGCAACCTCGAAAGTAGAAAAGGAAGAAAATAATTTGTTAGTATTAGTTCTGTGATTCTGACTTATACTTTGATAAAAGAAAACCCGTAATTAGTCGGGACAAATATTTAGTCACAAATATCTAAGATATGAGAGAGAATCGCCTGATCAGTTGCGAACCGCCCAAAAAAGAGGTGTTTCCCCAGAAGAAACTGCTGGACATAATTAATTTTCAACATTTTGAGCAGATGCTCACAAATTTGAACTTTATATACTATACTAGCAGTATGACCCGGCGTTGCCCGTGCTTGATTCAAAAATCTTACGACTCATACAGCAATCGCAATCACTTGACTTAAAATATTTTTGCCCTTCCTTGCTTTTAAAGGAGTGCTCTTTGCCGTGCTGATGTTGCAACATGTCTTACTTCTTGCGAAATTTCACACTGCGAATTTTTTCTAAGCTCTATACTAAACATTATATCTCTTACGAAAAAAGAACTAAACAAAATGAACACAAAACGATCAGCTTTAAAAAGGACTCGTAACTGGAAAAAACGGATGAAAAAAGAAAGTTAATAATAAATACTTTTT